TTCTCAAGGATTCAATTTAATGAACAGTTATCTTAATTCCATGTAAATTTTTATATGTTTAATGTCACTTTGAAAATTTGAATCTAAATCCAAAATTAACTCTAAGTTGAAATTTTAGTTAGCATTTGAATTTTAATTTTACTACTATTTTACTTTTATAATAAAAATATCCAAAAACATAAATGGTATTGCTTCAAAAATCAAAATCAAAACCAAAAACATAAGTTTACACCTTGTTCAGTCAAAAAAAAAAAAACGTTTCACCTTGTTTTGATATGCTAGCCTTGTTTGCGGTTAGACAGTAACACCTAAATTTTCTTTTAATTCTTCCAAAATAATATATTAAAAATCTGAAAATCCAAAATATCATAACCGCAAAGTTGTTCAAATCGATTAATCGACTAATATATCAAATAAACCCTATTTTTGTGATAGACATAATAGCATTAAAGCAGATACTACGGAAGCCAGATTTGGCAGGTCGAATGACAACTTGGTCAATTGAGTTATCCGAGTATGGAATCAAGTATGATAGCCAGGGGCCATTGCAAGCCCAATGCCTCGCTGATTTTGTTGCTAAACTCACATCTCTTATTGCCACAGAAGATCAATCATGGATTTTACATGTTGACGGATTGTCTAACATTAAAGGCAGTGGTGCGGGAATCATCCTTGAAGGCCCCAATGAGATGATGCTTGAGCTCACCATCAAGTTTGATTTCCAAGGCACCAATAACCAAGCTGAATACGAAGCTCTGTTAGCAGGTTTGAGATTGGCTCAAATTTGGCCAAGTTATAAATCAATAACAAAGTTGGCTCAAATTTGGCCAAGTTATAAATCAATAACGAAGTTGGCTCAAATTTGGCCAAGACATAAATCAATAACAAAGTTGGCTCAAATTTGGCAAAAGTTGGCTCAGATTTGGCCAATTATGAATTAATAATGCTAGCAATGTGATTTATCTGCTTAACATATGAAAATTGACAAAGTATGAACTTTGTATAGATGTGCTTGCATATAGTTGATTAAGAGATTGGCTCAAACTTGGCCAATTTATAGTTGATTAGGAGGTTGGCTCAAACTTGGCCAACTTGTAGCTGATTTAGGAGATTG